TAAGAGCTAATTTCCTACGTATCCAAAAAAATTTTCAGCTAACCCAGTTTTTGGAAAAACGGCGTTGATGCTACCTTACCGCAAGTTGACAGGAAAAATGGTTAAAAATTGACAAAATTGGGTTTTCGACATGGGATAATTTACAGCTCATTAGCAACTCTTTTTCACGTTTCGAAAAATTGTTGAAGAAAATTTTTTGTTCTCAAAAAATGGTTTTTTTTTAATAAAAAAATTTCAATTTTTTTTTCACAAAATGACACACTTGTATACTTTCACCCAAAATGTAGGAATGACCACATTTGCAAAAGTGATAAAAAAATCCTTTTTGACATTGGATAATTGAAAAATCATTATCGGATAATTTGTTATTATTCCAAAAGTTTTCATCTTTATGCCGTTCAGAAAACAATAGCGTTGCAGCTTATTATGAGCCAATTTTATATGCACCTAAAAATTTTTCTGCTAATGCCATTTAAAAAAAAAACGTATTCATGCTAGTTTTTTTGTAAGTTAGCAGAATAATCATTTAAAAAATCAATAGAATTGAATTTTCGATGTGGGTTTATTCAAAGTTGATTGAGAGCTAATTTTCTACGCTTCCAAAAAAATTTTTAGCTAACCCAGTTTTTGGAAAAACGGCGTTGATGATACCTTACCGCAAATTAGCAGAAAAAATGGTTAAAAAATTAACAAAATTTGGTTTTCGACATGGGATAATTTAGAGCTCATTAGCAGCTATTTTTTCACGTTTCAAAAAATAATTTTTTTTTGCAAAACATTTTTTTTTTTTTTTTCACAAAACGACGCATTTATATACTTTTTACCAAAATGTAGAAATGAACGAAATCTCATTTATAAAACTTGTAAAAAAATCAGTTTTGACATTGGATAATTGAAAAATCATTACCAGATAATTTGTTATACTTCCAAAAGTTTTCATCTTTATAGCGTTCGGAAAATAATAGCGTTGCGGCTTATTATGAGCTAATTTTATATGCATCCAAAAATTGTTCTGCTAATGCCGTTTTTGAAAAAAAAAGTGTTTCTGCTAGCTTTTCTGTAAGTTAGCAGAAAAATTATTTAAAATATCAATACAATTTGATTTTCGATGTCGGATAATTTCAAGCTAATTAAGAGTAAATTCAAAAATATATTGGAAAATCAAAGAAACATGAATTTCAGTTCAATTATTATATGCGAATGCATAGTAATCATAAAAATTCAGGTAGTAAATCTATTCTTGAATATTCACTTAATCAAAAATTGCGCCGGAATAACTCCTCAATATTCATTTTTTAATTGAAATTTCATGATCCTTTTCCCTTCCTAAAACCAATTTAATTTCGTTTTTCAGAAAGTTGATGGTTAAGGTACTTCCGCAGTAAGTATACTTGGTGAAAATTTCGAAATGGTATAAAGACGCAATATTTGGATAAAAAGATATAAAAAGATATAAAAAGATGAAAAGATATTCCCAAAATTTCAAGTCCCTGGTCCACCCCATTTTCGAGATATGCATCGCCAAACATTCAATTTTTGTGTTTTTTCCCATTTTTGACGATATCTCGAAAATGGGGTGGACAAGGTACTTGAAATTTTGGGAATAGTTTTTGAATGTGCTCAACAACATATGATCCAAATATTGCGTCTTTATACTATTTCGAAATTTCCACCAAATATACTTACTGCGGAAGTTCCTTAGCTGCTCACAAAGTTTCAATGTATTTACTACAAAGTTTATTCAGTGTCACTGGTTCTCGCAAATGGAATGAAAAATAACGGAGCCTGATAAGGCTGATAATGCACCTATGGGAGTTCCTCCTACTCGACTCCTTTCTCAAAATTGACTACGAAAACAAAAAATTTCGAATTATAAATAATGATCTGTTAATAATTTTTCAATTATCCAATCTCAAAAATGATTTTTTTTCTACTTTTATAAATGAGATTTAGTTCATTTCTCCATTTTGGTCAAAAGTATGTAAATGCGTCGTTTTGTGAAAAAAAAAATTTTTTTTGAAACGTGAAAAAAAAGCTGCTAATGAGCTCTAAATTATCCCATATCGAAAACCAAATTTTCTTAATTTTTTAACGATTTTTTCTGCTAACTTGCGGTAAGGTAGCATCGACGCCGTTTTTCCAAAAACTGGGTTAGCGGAAAATTTGGAAACGTAGAAAATCAGCTCTTAATTAACTTTAAATTATCCGATATCGGAAATTCAATTCTATTGATTTTTTAAATGATTATTCTGCTAACTTACAAAAAAAATAGCATGAATACGTTTTTTTTAAAATGGCATTGGCAGAAAATTTTTTAGGTGTATATAAAATTAGCTCATAATAAGCCGCAACGCTATTGTTTTCCTAACGGCATAAAGATGAAAACTTTTGGAATAATAACAAATTATCCGATAATGATTTTTCAATTATCCAATATCAAAAAGGATTTTTTTATCACTTTTACAAATATGGTCATTCCTACATTTTGGGCAAAAGTATATAAATGCGTCATTTTGTAAAAAAAAACAGTGCAATTTTTTTATTAAAAAGAAACTATTTTTTGAGAAAAAAAATTTTTCTTCAACAATTTTTCGAAACGTGAAAAATAGTTGCTAATGAGCTGTAAATTATCTCATGTCGAAAACCACATTTTGTTAATTTTTAACCATTTTTTCTGCTAACTTGCGGTAAGGTAGCATCAACGCAGTTTTTCCAAAAACTGGGTTAGCTGAAAATTTGTTTGGAAGCGTAGAAAATTAGCTCTTAATTAACTTTAAATTATCCGATATCGGAAATTTAATTCTATTGATGTTTTAAATGATTATTCTGCTAACTTACAAAAAAACTAGCATACGCATCATGCTAGCATGAATACGCTTTTTTAAAAATGGCATTAGCAGAAAAATTTTTAAATGCATATAAAATTAGATCATAATAAGCCGCAACGCTATTGTTTTCCGAACGGCATAAAGATGAAAACTTTTGGAATTATAAAAAATTATCTGCTAATGATTTTTCAATTACCCAATGTCAGAACTGATTTTTTGCCACTTTTATGAATGAGATTTAGTTCATTTCTACCTTTTAGTCAAAAGTATGTAAATGCGTCGTTTTGAGAAAAAAAAAACAAAAATTCAGAGAAAATTTTGTTTTTTTCAAATTTTTTGAAACGTAAAAAAAATAGCTTCTAATGAACTCTAAATTATCCCGTATTGAAAAAGAAAGTTTGTTCATTTTTTAACCATTTTTTCTGCAAACTTGCGGTAAGCTAGCATTGACGCCGTTTTTCCAAAAACTGGATTAGCTGAAAATTTTTTGAAAACGTAGAAAATGAGCTGTTAATTAGCTTTAAATTACCCGATATCGAAAATCAAATTCTATTAATTTTTAAAATAATTTTTCTGCTAACTTACAAAAAAGCTAGCAGAGACACGTTTTTTTCAAAAACGGTATTAAAAAAAAAATTTTTAAAGGTATATAAAATTAGCTCATAATAAGCTGCAAATTATCCAATATTGAAAATTCGATTCTGCTACTTTTGACTGCTAGGTTAATATACGTATAATTTAGTCAATGGTTAAACCAGTCTTCAGCCAATGGCGCATCTTGAGCCTTGGTTACCAGAGTCGGGCCAAGGATGGACGAAGACTGTCCGCCGATGCATGGTCAACAAGGGGCTATCTACCTTTGCCTAAGCTTGGTGGCCAGAATGAGTAGCCAGAATCGACAGACGTTCATTAGTGGCCGTTCTTGGTCCAAGTTCGACTAGCCCGTCTTCAGCCAAGGATCGGGTAGGACAGCCTTCATCCAACATTGGTCCGATTGTGGGAATCAAGGCTCAAGCCGCACCACTGGATGAAGACTGGCTCAACCACAGGCTGAATTATGGTCCACGCTTGTCCCCCAAAACCCGATGAGTCAGGGTTGAGCCAAGCTTGAACCAGCTGTTGAGCAGAGGGGGAGGGAGGCGTATTTGTAAAAACTACCAGGGCCGTGGGAAAGGGGGAAGGAGAGAATAATAATAATAATAATTGCGATAATAATTACAAAGATGGAATCTTCAAGTGTAATGAAAAATTAAAACTCTGGGTTCATCACAAATGCTCCGGTGATGGGAGAGGAGGGGGGGTGGGCGGTATTTTTTTCACACCCCTTGAATAACCAGGTGATTAATAAACAATGAAATCGGAATTAATCGCGATTATATTTAAAAACTCATGAAGCACAGCATGAAATCGAGATAGAGTTCATGTATGGACGATTTGAGTTAACAGTAATAAGAATCGCGCGGTAGACTAGTGGTTAAGGCTTAGGACTAGTGATGTTAGAATCGTGGGTTAGAGACCGGCTCGGGGTGATTATTTTAAGTTAACAAATTAGGGATTTTCACTGAAAGATGTGTTAGGGGTGGATGATTAGAAGATAATTCTAAAAATGTTTGAATGAACATTATTTTTTATTTTTTTAATCATTTAAATCAATAAACATTAGTCACGGCTAACGACTGGCGACCGAGTCAGGCCCAGTCTTGGTGGCCAAGAATGGCCCTGCGTTGTCATTTCGGGGCTCAACCAGCCTTGGATGCCTGTCGTGGCCCGTGACTAGCCAAGGTTAAGCCGACTTTGGACCAAGCTTGGGCCACTTGTTAATTCCTACCTGGGTACAAACTATCATCCATGACAAAAATACAAAGACAAACATGATTGTTTGAAACATCTTTTCTGTTTGAAATTAAGTTCGATGCCTTTCTCAATTGATTCTTAGCTGTACGCGAAGTGAGTCAATTCTTCATGATACAAAACTATGTTTTTTTATACAAAACTAAATTTGCAAATATTTCCGATTCTCAAAGTAATTTTTCCCACAATATGCCATTACAAAATTGTAGTGATCAAAACACACAATACACGTTTTTTTGTAAATAGTGATCAAAATTGAAAGGCATTCCATTTTATCTTCGAGCGCAGTAAATAAAAATATTCTTTTAATCCTGATTGCAGAGATGGATGTGTCAACATGAAAGAACCCGAGAATGTACCGCCATTAATGCCGAATGCAACATCAGCTATTGAACTGTTGCCTGGTTTTCCTGTTTGCAAAAATTCGGAGAATTTTACGATAATAGGTGATGCTAAAGATGCAGATTTGCAATCCGACGGTGGCCTCAACGTTGATGGTATTAGTCTACCGTCATTGCAATACTGTGTAGAACGAATAAAAGAACTTGAAGGAAGAACGAAAATATTCGCATGCTCTGAACACGCATTGAGAAGGTGAGTTCATGAGAAAAAAATAGTAGAAAAGACAGTCTGGAATTCTTCCTTCTTTTACAATGTATTTAAGACTACCAAAAATGAGAAAAATTCCATTTCAATTGTATTTCAGACTCCTATCCGCATAATGAACGTGAAAAAAAATCATGGATCTCTGAATGATTCTTCTCAAGTTTCTACTTTGTTCATTTATGTCGAAATACCAAAATATGGAGAACAAAAGTTATTTCAGTGTCATAAATCGAGATAAAATATGTGAATTTTATTTCTCGCCCGGGAGGCAATGATCTGTTGCGATTCCCGACCCTTGATCGCAAACTCAAGCCTCATAAAATGAGACGGGGAAGCAAGGGCACTATTTAAAATGTTTATACCAGAAAGGAGACTGATTTTTGGGGGCCTGAATCAGTCTTAAAAACTCCGCCGAAAACGATAAATGTTTCTGAAAACTATTTTTCATGAAAAAGAAAGAAGAATGTTCAAAACTAACTCTTAAACCGGTCTCCTGTGTTTTAATTAAAATTCAAACCCGCACAATTTCGCGATAATTACATGGATAAAAAACAATGCTCTGTCCAGGGAGGAATGAAACCTAAGGAAAAAGATCTTTTGATGCTCATAGAAAGCATAGCACCCTTTTAAAGCTATTGAATTTTATGCGAAAGTCAGTGCCAGTGAAAACAAGTTCATACCCTCGTCGAAATCCGTCGACAGATTCGGCCAAATAATGACAAAATTTCAAAAAATGTCAAAAAATGAGAAATATTTGGAATTTTAACATAAAATGACAGAATTTCATATAAAATGACAAATTTTGTCCGATTTTTTTGACATATTTTCCCAAAAAAATGTCATATTATTTCAAGTCGATAATATGTCATAAAATGTCCGAATATGACAACCAATATAGTAATATGATAAAAAATGTTATGATATATAAAATTATATCCGATTTTCAACTTCCCGATCTATCGGGTAGTTACAGTAATGACCCCGGAAATCGAATGTGGAATTTTCATGATTTGTCCACGTTTCTTGAGGTTTAGAATCATTTTCAACGAACTTTGAAGCCATGTTCGTGTGTCTGCGTGTGCGTGCGTGTGTGTGTGTGTGTGTATGTGTTTGTGTGTATGTATGTATGTATATGTATGTAAACAAAATTTTGCCCGACGATTACTCTTGAACGAATAATATGATTCAATTTTTTTTTTCGCAAACGATGCATCTTTGTGTAACTTAGAACTGATTAGTTCGTGAAGACGATTGTCTCAGCGGTTATTCGCCAAAAAAATGTGAAAAAATGCCAAAAATGACGTTTTTTTGGAAATGATGCAATTTAGATTGTTCTCCATACAATCGATGAATCTTCGTATGCAGTAGTACAAAGTGGATCTTTAACAAAATCGACTCCGGTGTTTTCCAGTTATTCTAAAAATAAAACTTTTGGAACTTTGATTTTTTTTTTATTATCATAGCTCTGATTCCATAACTGATCACAACAATGATCTCCATAAAACCCCCACGTGGGGTAGAATGGGGGGACATGGACCAGGGGGTGAAATGGACCGCTGGGAAAAATGAACCCGTGTGCCTTGAACGACTGAATACACGTGGTCAGAAGATAAGAATCAGAAAAACTATGTGGTAAAATTAATATAGGTGGGATTGTATGCATTAGAAGAGGCGGAGAGGAGTCAATAGAAAAGATCAATATGACTGAGACATAATCAGATGAAAAGAAGGGTACTGTGATAGAATTTCCAGTATTCTGGGTCAGGAGTCCATTTACTCCCTTGGCTCACAACCCTTATTGAGTCACGCGTATCTACTCAACCACCAGAACTGATTGAATTAGATGAGAACAATTGACTTTACTATTCTTGAATTATTGGAATGGATCATGAAAATTTCGTCGTATAGATTTTTGAAAAAATTATGATAGAGAACAGGTGAGGAGAACACTAATCGGCAATGATTCGCAATGATAATCCGGAGCATTACTGAAATTCAGCATAAATGCAGGAAAAAACCGAGAGAAATCACTCGCTTTTGGAATGATAGAATTGGAACGTGAATACGAATGTAATATGTTTGGTCTATGAATTCCTTCATTTTTCCACATTATATTCGAAACATCTCTACAGAATCCTGTTTTGCCAAACGAACTGTCAGCAGTTGATGAAGGATCCTAATCGATTTGATTATCAACCGTGGTGTAATGTAAACGCATGCGCACTCTCTCAAATCTGTCTTATATATACTGTACTCCATCAATTAGCTGTGAACATTCGAGCGAATTGAAACACTATCACAGCTCTCTGAAGAATAGTCACATTTTTCAATAGAATATATTTCTTATTAACTTCCCGACCCGAAAGGAGGAAGTTATTGTAATGACCCCGAAAAACGAATGTGAAAATTTCATGGTTTCTCCACGTTGCATGACCCCTATAAACTCTCCCGACCCTTTTTGGAGACCGGTCTCTATGTGCGCATATGTGTGTGTGTGTATGTATGTACGTAAACAAAATTTTGCCCAACGATCTCTCTCGAACAAACGATGCAATTCAATTTTTTTTTTGTAATCAATGCATTTTCATGGCACTTAGAACTAATTAGATTTTGAAGAATATCGCCTGAGCGGTTCTTTAGATATTGCAGTAAAACCAGTAAATCAACGTCGAAAAATGACATTTTTTTTACAAATTTGGCGATTTCTCTCAAAATAACGATGGGATTGATTTCTCTCCATCATAATCGATGGAGCTTTGTTTGTGTAAGACTTGAGTGAAATTCCAGCAAAATTGTCTCAGCGGTTCTGAAGTTATTCAAACATGAATTTTTAACTTCCCAACCCGAAGGGAGGAAGTTATTTTAATGACCCCGAAAATCAAATGTGGAATTTCGATGACTTCTCCACATTTCTCGACCTCCGGAATCATCCTGATACATTTTTGAAGACATGTCTGTGTGTGTGTGTGTGTGTATACGTATGCGACCACAAATTTGTCCAACGATATCTCCTGAACGAATGAAACGATTGATTTTTTTCTTCCTTCAAATGATACATGTTCATGTATCTTAGAACTGTTTAGTTTATGAAAACGATTGACTCAGCGGTTTTTTATTTATCACTTGTAATACCACAAGAGCTTCGAAATTGACAAGAAGTTAATTCGACGGCATGATGTTTTGTTTTTTATATAGCAACTACCAGAGAAAATTATCAAAAAATTATCAGTTGAAAACCCTGTAGCTTGTACCACGTGATGTCGAATGGGCCAATTATATTGCCCGATATTTGGGTTGGAAAAATAATCCACATAAAATTTGTAAAAAATGCCAAAAAGCGTTAATTTCATAGAAATTCGATCATTGTACCTAAGGTAACGATGGGATTTGAATTAATTTGGTGCAATCGATGCTCCTCCCCACTTTCAAGTTGGAAAATTTTGAAGTGGGTCAACTTTGAAGTTGCAAATTTTTAAGTGGATCAGCTTCGGAGTTGAGAGAATTTTGAAGTGGGTCAAGTAAAAAGTGGGTTTAAGTGCAATTTAATTTAACTCAAACTTCAATCAAGTTTGAATTAAATTAAATTGCAAATGCGTTCTTTGCGAAATCACCCTAAGGGTAATGCCACAATGGATGCAACGCTAAACGCATGCACCGCATAGAATAATTATCCAACTGTTTTCCGAATATTCCTGATAATGACTACCGTTGCGTGTAGCGTGCGCCGCATTCACTGTGGCATGACTCCAGCGTCAACAAAAACAAATGGTCGGGAAGTTATTGGTTCGACCCGTAATGGGTCACACCCAATTCCACCAACTCCTACCGGTCATACCCCAAAGAGGCAGCGCGCGACTGGGCCTGATTTTTAATGTCACAATTTGTCATATAATGACATTATCTGATATGTACCTGTGCTCAAAATATCCTTGAAAAATGTCAAAATATGATATTATCCGTCAAATAATGACATTATGAAACATCTGATGTCATATTTTGTCAAATTCTGTCAAATACAAAATGTCAAATGACATTTTCTGACAAGCACCTGTGTTAGGAATAACCACAGAAAATGTCAGAATATGACGAAATATGACATTATAAAACATCTGATGTCATATTTTGCCAGATTCTGTCAGACACAATGTGTCATATTTTGTAATATTATGACGTTTTCTGACGAGCACCTGTGCTGGGAATAGCCACAGAAAATGTCAAAATATGACAAAATATGACATTATAAAACATCTAATGACATATTTTGACAGATCCTGTCAAACTTAATATGTCATAATCTATCATACAACGGCATTTGCTGATAATTGTGTAGGCTAGGAATATTCTCAGAAAATATTAAAATATGTCAAATGATGACATAATAATACATTTTATGCCATATTTTCACAGATTTTGTCAGGAATGTTTAAATGACATGAAATGCAGAATTCTGAAAATCGCGTTATTTGACAAATAACAAGATATAACTTTAAAATTTGACATTTTCTGATTAAATATCGGAAAAGGTCAGAAACTGGGAAATTATGACGTATTCTGTATAAAAAAAATAGAATTAGGGACTTGAAGTTTTCAGGATTTTGGAATTGGGATACTTTTGTTTGATTGATTCAAAATGTTAATTAATTAATCAATGATTAAGTGGACGATGGAGCAATACAGAATATGGGAGAGGAAGAGGGGAGTTATAGATCAGAGGGGGGAGGGGTGGAAACTATAACTTGGGGCAAAATGGCATGCCCATACATATCCATGTGCCTCCTTTTGAATAGAACTCGCTATCCCTTTTTACCCTACTGTGAAACAATTTATCTCGACATATCATTATACCCTACTGTCTGATTTACCCTACTATGCCATTTTGCCCCACTGTTCAATTTACCGCGATATTTCGTTTTACACTACTACCTAATCTACCTGGCTCCCGATTCGCCTCATTCTCTTTTACCTCACTGTCCCTTCCACTATGTTTC